CATCTCGATTGTACTTGAAGCATTGGTGGAGTGTGGAAGGAACCATCCCCTGGTCGTGAAGCCAGGGATGACCAAGCAGGACGTTGTAGGAGGTATCGATGTCGATTACGTGGAATTGGGCGTAATCGTTGAGATCACCGATCTTGAGACGAAGGCACACTGTGCAGGCTAGCTTTTCTCCTGACTAGTTAAGCCCTTGCACAGTGATGTGGGTAGGCGTGAGGTCGTCAGACCCTAATCCCAATCGGGTAAGGATCCTTCTTTGGATCAGGTTGACTGCTGACCCCCCGTCTAGCATGATCCAATTGAGAGGGTAGGGGTGAAGTTCACCATTCACGAAGAGGGGGCGATTGTGGAATTTGCCTCCCAACTGAAGGTCATCTTCAAAAAAAGAGATTGTCAAGCACCCACTCAGAATGGCCGGGTTGACTTCAATAGGTTCCACTTCAATCTCATACACCTCTAGGTTAGAAAGAGCTTGAACCAGAGCCATACAGTAGTCTCTAGACAGCAGGAGGGCATCATAGATACTTAAAAGGGCTGGAAGCTTTATCAAATTCCCAATTACATCGTACTTCACTTTATCCTTATTAGTCTTTTGTGTTCCTGATCTTGTCACTGGTGTGGGTGGTAGGGTAGGCATAGGAACAAGCTTTGGTTGAGTTTTGGTTTGCGACACCGACTGACTTTGTTGTTCAGCAGGTGTGGTCTGGGTTGATGAGGAAGTAATAGGAGCTTGTATTAGGGATGTAGAGGTTTGAGGTTGAGGTTTGGGAGAAAGCGGAGGATCATGAAACTTGAGGGATTTGAGCTTTGGAAGTGTGGGTTGTAGCTTCTTTCCCGATCTTAGACCCATTTGCCCCGTGCTAGCTGATACTTCCAAGATCTGCACCATGTGGGAGGCTTCTTTAGAACAGGAGCCTGAAGATGACTCAGTCTGTGCTCTGTTTGACAGGCCGTCAATGGCTATCAAGAATCCAATCGCCTGAGCTAACATCTCTCTTAAGCACTCTTGTTGTCGTTGGGTGAGGTTAGTGTCTCCGAACTCTTTGTTTGAAGTGTCGAAGTCTGGGCACCGTTGAGCTGCACCTGTGGAAAAAAATAAAAGAGGAGAGAGGAGAAGAAGAGTTAAGACGTTCTGGGCAGCTTTTTGCGTCATCATCGAAGTTGGACGTGCCCAGGGAATATTTTAGATCTTGCCCCGGGTTTGACCGTCATGTGGTGCTTTTAGTGTCATATTAGGGGAATCTCAAGCTGTTGGTGACTCGGGGATGTCCGCCTGATTGGACGAAAGGACGACGCGAGCTATGCTTGAAATAAAGTCTTGCAGGGTCGACAGTGGAGGAAGGGGCCTGAGGAATTCTTTCTCGCCTGGTGGCTGAGGTGAATGATTCCTTCAACAGGCCGACCTAGGTTCATGTAGTCTCCTTTGGGGTTCTTGAGGGGGTGTCTGGACCACCCTATTAGGCTGGTGAGTAGCCCTTGCTTGGTAAACTGCCTCATGTTTCAAGGATTTGAGCCTACTCCGCCCATGGTAGACTTTCCAAGGCTGAGAGGTCGAAGGCTCTGAAGGGTCTAGTGTATACTCAGGAGGGGCTGGTGGTGTGGCTTTCTGTGGACCGGAGCGACGACCTGAACGCGTTCCGGGAGAACCGCATAAACGATGTGGCCTTGTTGGACTTTCTCAGTGACTATAGTTTCGAACCCAGAGCATTCGTTGATTTTGTGGCCCCCATACTTGGTGATATGGGCACCAAAGTTTTTTCGTGCCCTGGGCAAGGCGCCTCGGCTACCTGGCAGGCTTGGGAATGACATGCCCTTGTTGGAGCATTGCCTTGAAGAGGGCCTGTAGATGGTCTAGCTCAGTATTTTGCTAGGCTTGAGTAGGGAGGCTTTCTTGCACATGCGATAGAGAGACTCGAGGGTGTCCTTCTGGGTTGCCTTGAACTTCTTGGCACTGCTGCAACTTCTCTGCCAAGAGCTTGTGGGAGTCGGTGCATTCGCTGATGTCATGGCCTCGTATCTGGTGATATCCGCACCAAAGGTTCTCAGTTCCTAGAGACATGAACATGGGCTACCTTGTCGGGTTGGGAGTGAGGAGCCCTTCTTCGAGCATTATGGAGAAAAACACACGAAGGATAGCGGGTGCCCCGTCGTCCTCTTGGATCGTGACTATGTGAGAAACCTCAGTTGCCCCGAACCCTCTTTTCAACTCTTCGAGCTTTATCTGACCCTTGTTGATAAGGGCTTAGATCGTGTCGTTGAGCTTATAGCAGTCGTAAGTGGGGTGGCATACCCTCTTGTGATAGGTGCAGTACTTCTCATTTGCCTCCTGTCTAGCCGACTCCACAGTATTGGCCTCCGGCAACTGTATCATGTTTTGTTCTAACAGTAGTCGAAGTAGAGCAACCGTCCACTCTGTGTCGAAGGGGTAAACCTTATTCTGGTGCTAGTCCCAGTAGTCGTTTGGCCTAGAATTTTTAGGAGGTGGGATGTTGTTCTCTCCCTAGAACTCCACCTCGTAAGAATCTCAACGACTGTCTCTCCTCGTCTGCTCACTTCAATTTTTACCTTTCAACAAACAATCCTTCTAGTCCCGATCTGGCTTTTGATGGGACCCCTAAAGAAACACTTTGATCTAGGTGTGGAAACAGAGACTCTCCTCCTCTCTCTAATAACTACTCTTATCATCCTAAGTTCTAAGTACTAGTGGAAGCCTCCTCTTAAGAGGCCTTGAGTCTCAAGATCTTTTCCCACCCATCCTTGATAAAAAATATTATCCTTGATATTTTTTAGGATAAGAATAGCATGCAAGTATTGGATATATTTTTATCTTTCTATTTCATAGAGCAGCTTCTCGGAAATCTAAATCAGAATTCAAAAATATCACTGCTAAAGTTTTGTGCTCGATTCTTACTTTGTTGTTGTTAATGTGTCATTGGTTATCAATGTCAACCATTGATGTTTTTTATGGTTTCCTTGAGATAGGTGCAACATATACTCGTTGAAATTCTTCGAGACCCAGCTAGGGCAATGTGGAACTCTTATTCATTAATTTAGATGTTTATTTTTCTTGATTTCATGTCACCTCTTCGTCTTCAATCCCTAGCTTCCAAGTCAGCTTCCTGCTTATTTTCTTCAATAATAGAAAAACTGAGAGAAAAAAAAAAAAAAGAGGTAGAATGGGACTTCTAATATTGGAGGATTTCTTTCAGACATATTCTTAATCTTGTTGATGGGGTTGTTAACCTTTGTATGCCTTCTTATTGGAGGAGTCATGCCTCTTTATTTGAACTTGTATTAGTATTATGGTCTAGTTTGTTGCTACTGACCAACTATTGATCGTGTTTCAAAGTTGGTTTATGATGATTTGATTTACCCCATCAAATCCAAATAACCTCCTTTCTTTTCTGTATTATCTAATTATGAAACTCCTAAGATTCAATTTCACTGAATTTGACAAGAATGCAAACTACTTTTTCTTCTTCTTGATGAATTTTATGAATGCTATCAGGTGTGTTATCCATTGTTAACCATCTCAAATAAATGGATTAATAATGGTTGTGATGAAGTTTTTAATATATTCTTTGTGATTTCTTTATAGAATAGATCTCGACAACCAATTCCCTCCAAGGATTTATAAACGCAAACCAGGATGTGATCGGATGCATGTGTTTATATCAAAGACACGATAGCTGCAATAGACATTTCTATAAATGTTCTAACTGGAAGGTATATAACATTCATTCATTAATATAATGTAGAAGCAAATTGCTATTCATTTGTAAGCATATATCTAACACACATTTATCTTATCATATTAACCGCTAGAATGAGACTGGATGCGACTATTTAGAGTGGTGTGATGAAATTCTAAGTGAAGATAGGAAGCCTTTGGTTAAACGGTTCGTGTCTTCGAGGGTAGACGCTTGTGTTGCTGATGGATTATATGCATCTTTGTCAGAAAATGAGAAGCACAAATCTATTGTTATGGTCCATCATAAAGCAAACGTTCAAAAAATTACTCTCATATGTGTAATTTTATTTATGATAAAGAATGGGTATATGTTTTATGGTATTTATATACTTATAATTGTATACATTTATACTTCTCTATCTTCTATGGAACAACAATGTTCAATTTGATATATTTGTACATTAATGTATTTTGGTACGCTCTCTCACACACACGCAAGCATCAGATATTCTTAAGTGGTTTGAATCTCTCTCTCCAACATCAAATATTCCTTAGTGTTTTAATGCAAGTCTTAGGCTTTCCGATAGAAGGTAAATCCTCATATCAAACTATTGCTCTGATGATAGAAAACCTACTTCAAATCAATCATTTCAAAGATTGAGTTGGAAAGAATTATAAATTTCAAGCATTAAAATTAGTATGTTTTGAGAAGTACGGACATAGAGCATAATAGATTTTCAGGCCAATTTAGCCTGTATAAAACGTTAGCATTAATTTTATGGAGCTCAAACTAGAGATGGCTATGACCCTGTGACACAACTAAACATAAGTACCGATGGGCGTTGAAGGTCAGCTTGGCACAGGGCTGTTCCAGACCCCTTGTAAGGCCCATCAAGCTCATTAGGTCTACAATCAAGCATGAGTCCAACAATTAGATACAAAGCTCATTGGGATAATTGAATCGGTTATAAAATTAATTACAACATTAGTGTTGAACGTCCACAAGATAGCATTACACGTGTCCTTCACAATCAGGTACCAATATTTTAAAAAACCACATATTTGCACGTCCATCTCTCTCTCTCTCTCTTTCCCCCGTACATGTAGGATATCATTTACTTGGATTGTACACTTAACAGAATGAAAGACTCACAATTAGGCAATTAGCGAGACGGGCTCGAGTCATAATATATAGCATCTGATAACAATTTGACATACATTCTACTTATCTAAAAACCTTTCAAGAAACAAGTTGACAAATTATTGCCATAGTGATAATACATTGCATTTGATAACTGCAATATTACATACAAGGTAGTCCATTCAATAACAAAACTGTTTATATAAAGTTTAGTGAAAAGAGTACAATGGCATACAACCTACATCTTTTTTTTGAGTGAATGTCATACAACCTACATCAATAATGCCAATAGTTTAACAACAAACTTTTTTAAAAAAAACAAAAAAACAGCAACATAGCCCCTCCTTTGAAGTTGTTCCATATGAATTTGTCATCCTTGTCTGAGACAAAATGCATTATGATGAGTGACAATAGTGTTCCAAATGAAATTACAAATATGAACTTACATGCATATAAAAACGTTTCAAAATGAATTTACATACATGCCTTCCCAACAATTTTCTCTTACCATCAACGCACATTAGCTGCCTCCTTATGGGTTCGAAGCATACAACGTGATTTGTCTTTAGCCCTATAAGAGGAAGATAAATTCATATGTTAGCATTTAAATTCATACAATTGTAAATGAAATACATCAACAATAACATGAAGATAATACAATTGCAAAACAAAATAATGTAAAAGTATGCAGTTTTACCTATCACAAACGAACGACGCGCAGTTCCTTTTATCATGTCCACTGCCATTGCAAACTGTGCATTTCCTTTTTTTAGTCTTAGGATTTCATCGCTCAGAACGAGCTTTCATTCTTTTAGTGGTTGTTCATCCCTTTGTTCGTACTCGTGCAGGTTCAAGGACATTGCGGCAATGGTTACTTCCACTTGATGTGTTACTACAACGAGCATAATTGTCATCTTCATTGACATGGCTCATGACATTATCCTGTGGACCTCTCTTGCACACAAACTTTTCATCAAATTGACGAATTCCATTTTGTATTATGGACATTACAAACTCCTGACCCTCTACACTTTGTAAAGCACGCTCGGCAAGAGATTGACTTGCCTACATAGCCTCATTATATCTAATGGAGCGTGGTAGTTCAAATGTTACTTGAATCCATTCCCCAATGTCATCAATAAAAACTCCCTTCTTTACATCCTTGGTCCAACGCCTCATTATATATTGTGAAAGATATTTCAAACACATCTTTCACCATAAAAATCTTCAATACATGCCTGCAAAGAAGGCCCATCCTCTTAAAGAAGTGACAACTGCAATAAACAGAATTGTCATGGCAATTGAATTTCACTAAGTAGGGTCTAGATCCGGTCCCCGGGACTGCCACCTTAAAGGTACCAACCAATCCATTGTCTTTAACTGCCTCCCTCGTAAAATTAAAGCCATTAGCCACCTTTTCCCCAAATATCTTTAAAATCTTTTGAGTATAGATTTTTGATACATGTAACACAATGAAAGTGGTTGTTCGCAAGAATGGAGTAGTTTGAATATCTTTCAAATCATTTTCCCTCTCTTTCCGTACATTTTTATCTTGGACTTTTGCAACAAATTTTAATAATGTGCACAAGCTTGTTGTGGGTGTCAAGTACATTTTAAAATATGTATTCATCCCTTCACTCCTTTGAGTAGATGTCATACTCGCAGTGAACGTACCAGCCAAGTACGCATCAACCCAGAGCATGTGACAACCATAAAGCCTACTGAGCCATTTATTGTCTTTCAACTTATAATTATCAATCATTGATTTTCATCCTGATTCAAATTCTTCAATTGTTGGGTTAGCCACACCTCCTAAAGGTATCTAAATAAGAAGGATGCATAAATGTTTTCTTTGATCTTCGCAAATATGTACGACTTACAATAATGACGCTTACTTTGGTAAAGAACATGTCTCATTGCATATGAAATTGCACGATCTTGATCAGTGAGAATAACGCCCGGTTGCCGTCCACCCATGTCTTCCAACCAATTTTCAAATACCCATATAAATGATTCTATTTTCTCGCCAAATATGAGTGCAAATCCAAATAAAGTTGTACTGAAATGGTGATTTACACCAAGTATATGTGCAAAGGGAATACCAAACATATTTACCAAACACCAAGTATATGTGGTATCAAAGGTAACCACATCAAAAAAGCACTGGTAGGAACTCTAAATGTAGAATCTACCCATAAGATACTGCGAATGTGATCTTCATCATCTAATCTCAATCTATAGAAAAATGATGGGTTCGATTGGTTCTATTTATAGAGTCATTGCAAAATTAAATTGTTATATTCTCCTCTAAGTTTTCTTTTGGCTCTTTCTATTTCATTTTGGATGTCCTTTTGTGTGCAAGGGACATTGTCAATCCTTCCCATCTGCTCTATGAATATGTCTAGGCTTAACCATTGCTAAGCTCATTGAATGTATCAATGACTTTGTAGCACTCGACAATGATCAATGTGTGCGAATTAGATGAGTTTTTCTTGGATTAACTAGATCATGATTATAATATTTAACAACGCTAGACACGTTACACTCGTCGTCATCGTGCCTACTTATGCACATCCTAACACTCACACCTTAACTCAAGGTAAGCATTTCCACTTTTATTAGGTTTTTCTTATTTAAACCCTTCCTTTGAGAAAACATAAACCCTATCGATCTGTTTACCTTTCTTGTTATGAGTAGTCCGCCTGCGAATACCAAAACCTTTGGTCAATGCATAAGACTTACAGAACTCATATGCATCATCCTGTGATTCAAACATCATTCCTACGCATGGTTGTTCTATTTCTTGGCCAATGTTTGGTGAGCCACAACCATCCTCCAAGATTTCATCAATGTGCCTACATTTGGGCATGTGCTAGATGTCACACCGACTGAATTCGTGGGATCCATCTCAGTTTTTTTACTTACCCAATGTGAAACTGCAAACTACAAAAATACATGTATTGAAACCTTCATCTTAAGAATACCAATCATATTTTTCTCAACCCACCTTGCCACATGCAAAACTTGTAACAAATGGATACTACATACTTGTAATATAAACTCAATGCAGCAGGGGCAAAAAAACCCAATGACAAAAAAAAAAAAAAAAACAATGTAGCAAGAAAAGCAAAAAAGGAAAGAAAATGGGGGAGAAAGACACAATTCTAATTTCCAAGAGTAAGTGATTCATAATATGGAGAATCAGATGCCACATGAAGATAGTGGACTTAAACACAACATATGATATCTCAAAATGCATAAAAATAAACATAAACAGAGCTCAAGAAATTACTCAATAAACATAAACAGAGCTCAAGAAATTTTGAAAGAAAGACTTGTTCTCAACAAACTCATTTGATTTTTTATTCAAATGATGATTCAGTTAAAATGATCAAATGAGATCAAATTCCCAATTCTCACTCTTATCACATCCAATATTTGCATGCTGTTCTTACCCTAAAAATAGTACTGTAAAACTAGTAATCCAATTCATTTATCAAAACTTAACCTGTAAAAATAGTAATGATCGTTTTGAGGGTTTTAAATTTTGATTTGAGTTCAAAATTTAAAATGACCATTTAAATTTTGAATATAATATGAAAGTTAAGTATTAATCTCAAACACTACACTTAATCCAATGGTGATGTAAGTGGATAGAAAGAGAGAGAGAGAGAGAGAGAGAGAGAGAGAGACAGAGAGAGAGAGTTATTCACTAATATTCCATGCTACCAAGAATGAGTAGCTGATCTTACAAAGT